TTTCCACATCATTTCAGTTTCCTCTTACCAGCCGATTGAGCCATAGAGCCTGAGCTACTGACAGTTGCATTGTAAAGGTAAGTTGTCGTATGAAGACGTATGGGGGAATGGAAGTATAGATCCATATTTTCTTGACCTCGACATTAGTTGGAGGTGGGTGGTCAGCTTCACGCCCCGGCCGCTTTACCCCCTGGAAAGAGCCCCCGGTACCCGTTGGATAGGAGGTTGGGTGGACCCCAGACCCGGCCTGCACGACATTGAGAATAGAAAGTTGTTGACCCTACCGGGACTCGAACTCCGACCCCTCAGTCGTGGAACCCGTAGCCAGTCGCTATACCGACTATGCTATCCCGGCATTACATAAATCTTAAATTCTCTGGACTCCTTTGAGATGAAGAAGGAACTATCCAATTTGTTCTCATGCGTCAGTCCGTCTTCGCTTCACTAAATTTTGAACATCACAGCTAAATATTCCTCATGCGTAGACTACAACTGCTGAATGATGCTTCACATAAATTACATACGCAAACTGTTATCTACTCACGATATATGCATGTAGCGTCATATATATACAAGAAGTTGTGGGAAGAAATATTCTTCTACTACACTTTGATAAGACACGGACCGCATAGAAAACGACGGGAATTCTTCTATCGTAACATTTTTACCAATCCGTTGCCTAGAAACATTCAGGCATTCAAAGTTGTTAGGTTGGGATTTACAGATACACAGCATGACGATCTCATAAGCCTTAATTTTATGTCGAAAAAAGAAAAGGAGGCTAAAAATGGTTGTCATAAATTTTTTTATTGCTAGTGGGGTGGGACTAAGTCCCTTGTACTGCGGCTACTTCTGGCCTATTGTACCAGCCCCAGATGATAGGTGAGGGTGATTGTGGAGGAATTGGTGGAATGAAGATTGGCAGGGAAAACCGAATTACTCGGAGGAAACCTGCCCCAGCGCCACTTTGTCCACCACAAATCCCACTTGACCAGACCCGGGATTGAACCCGGGCCGCCGCGGTGGGAAGCCAGCGACTAACCGCTTGAGCTATGGCGCGGTCCTTGTAATTATTTAATAACTGTTGCGTGTAATACAAGCTGGTGTACGCAGACGCAATGTCTTTGATTGCAGATATGCGATTTTCGGTGCTTAATGAAGCTGTTTACTCTGAATAAGCCGATCATGAGTTCTCCCTTGCTAATTACTGTGACACAACTCCACCGTACCTTAATAAATGTATGTTAAATTCTATCCATTTGAAGCATACGGTCTTCTGGATTGTAACACAGCATAGTTCGGAGACAGCCCGACGTTTCCGACAAATATACCGCCTCCATCTTCAGATCGAAGAGTAAGCGAAGCAAGAACAAAAAGTTCTGCGAAGAATTAATCGCCTGCTTTCCTTTGATCCCTGGGGTCGACTCAGTCTCTAACAGAAATGAGTGCCAGGAATCTTCCTGGGGGTAATGGGCGACCGGCGCTTAAGGCTGACAACCTTACCTCCATCTATGAGCCGATTGTCTATAAAATGTGGGAACCTCAACATCTCACAACCCTATGGGCCTCCACGGCCTGTTGCAGGGATACCTTTACTTTACTTTTATTTACTTTACGACACGGACCGCATAGAATACGACGCATCCAAGAATTCTTCTATTGTTGCATGTGTATTCATTGCCTCTGGAACGGGTTTACCGAGCCGTTGCCTAATATCGATAAGGGTGCACATACAGACAGCAAGGTTATATCATAAGCCTAGCAACGACCGTCCCTTCTGGCTCCACTGTTCCGACTTTCAGGCGTTAGGGGGATACATAGTTAATTTTATAAGCATCCTTAGACATTTTAAAACAAGGAAAATAAGCTAAGAGGCAGAAGTAGAAAGCAAGGAGACCTGTTCGGCTATTTATATTAGTTTCTTGCCTGGCCTACTCCAGGATCCTGAGGATGAAGACGATATTTTTCTCCGAAACGTCAAGTTCTCTCCGAACTACATGACATTACAATTCAGAAGACTGCATTCTTTATAGTTGCAGTAGTTAGAACTTCGAATGCAACAAAAAGTTATGTTTGAAGTAACACAAGGCAAATTACATCTAGGTTAAATTTGGCCCAGGTTTACTCGAAGTGGCGAAAATGCGAGGTATTACTACAGGACTCTACAAATAAGGAACACATACTCTATGTGGGACTGGCTGGGTCCGCGGGCTCTTAATTTACTCCCTGATCCACGCAATTTGATGCATACTTGATGTATTCCGATTGTAAGGTGCGACGTTAAGTCTATTTACACGTCTAACATTAACAGTAGCACATAAATTAGGCCACATCCTCAACTGTTATTGAAAGTGTATTTACTTTCATTCTTTTATCTGGGTTAACCTGGTTTATGTTCTGCACTATGTGTAGTGTAAAATGGGACGCAGGCCTGCCAACTGAACGAACACTGTTTCTCAGTATACTCCAAGACGATAAATTGAAGCGTGAACAATGGCGGGTACTGTGTTTGATGAACTGGCACTCTCGTGCAAGAAAATAGCGCTGTTCTATTGCAAGATTTTACGAAGCGATGAATTTAGAGGATTTTGGCAGTGAAAGGTCCTGCAATATTTGAGTGTTGACTGTACAATGGAACAGGTGTGTTGAACAGTTCAAAACATTTCAGAAGCCAAAAAGAAGGAAAAGCAGAAAAGTTTATTATTGTCAAAGTTTAGAGTCTGACTATTTTACAGGGGATTTGAAGTTGAGAGCCATTTTCCGAACTGAAAATAAAATTCAAGGCAAGGAAGATACAAGTTCACAGTAAATGTGCGTTAAACTGTGTGCTTTTTTTTTTTTGGAAAATCCGTTTGTTTAACGTTAAAGAAAATAGAAATGAGACGGGATTAATGCGAGATTCCTCGGAGCTGATGCAAAATATAGAATTGCCGATTATAAACATGAAGCTAAGCCCTTCTTGAGAAGTAGGCCGTCCCTCAGTCACTCAATAATTTACCAACATTTTATGGAACCCAAATGTTCATTACTATGTTCGCAAGAGCCCTCCACTGTTCCATATCTTGAGCCAGATCAATCCAGTTCATATCTCTCTCTCTCTCTAAGAACCATTTAATATTAACCTCCCACCTACGTTTAGGTCTGCCTAGTGGTCTCTTTTCTTCCCGCTTTCCAAAAAAAAATCTATATGCATTCCTCTTTTCCCCATTCGTGCCACTTGCCCTGCCCATCTCATCCTCCTTGACGTGATCATTCTAGTTATACTTGGAGGAAAGTACAAGTTATGAAGCTCCTCATTATGCAGTTTTCTCCAACCTCTAGTCATTTCACCTCTCTTCGGTTCAAATATTCTCCTCAACGCCCTCTTCTCATACACAGTCTATGTTCGTCCCTTAATTCCGGGGATCAATTTGCACACCCATTAAACATAATGAGGATATTACAGGTAACATGGAAAAGAATATACATCAATACAACAAAAAACACTAAAAATTTGCTACAAGATTTAAAAAAAAAACGTCCGAAAGTCGAATTCTGAATCTACTGTACCAAAATATAGCGAGAAAAGAATGTAATTTTTGTAATACGTAGGAATAGATCAAAACTTCAATCCATAATACACTAGTGATACACTAAAATGAGTTAACCTCCAGCTCTCTTNTCTGATCTTCGCACTTTTTCTTGTTGTAACGCCTGCATGACATTTGGCATAGGAAATGAAAAAAAAAACAGTATCTAAAGATTCCTTAGGATTATAATCACCATTCTACTGATTCTGACAAAAAACTCTTTGAAACATTATATTTGAGGGAATTTGCTACAAGATAAAATACCGTATTTACGCATGTATAGGCCGCGTGCGTGTATAGGCCGCACCACAATTTTCAGACAGAAATTATAGAAAAAATAATTTTCTTGGAATAGTATTTCAGGAGTATTACACCCTGTATTACTAATTATGAATATATTTTTTTTTAAATGAACTGTGATTTCGAATATTTGCCGCACCCCAGTTTTCCTCTTGAATTTTTGGCAAAAAAGGGACAACCTTGTGTATATTATAAACTAGATACATTGTGTTCTTACTTCCAGCCTGCTACATGTTTCAGTTTTCGAGATTACCATCAGGCAACAGCACACGTCTCGTAACAAAACTGCAGTTAATGCTTATGCTATAAATATCGGCCAATACACTGACGGTGTCGGTATAGCGACGGGCTGGAAGGCCGGAGTTCAAACCCTAGCAGCGTCAAAAATGTTCTGCTCTCCAGGCCAGCCTCGTATTCAATGAGTACCGGGACCCATTTCCCCAGATAAAGCAGCCATGGCGCAGCATAAGCCACTAAACACAAGACAACAGTTTCCTCGTCCAATAATTTTAACATCTGATGATGACCACATTGGTCGAAACATGTACTGATAAAAGTTTAAAGTGAATATCTTTTAATATATTTTATAGAATATAGTGTTGTACGTGAGACTGTAAAAAACTAATGGTTGCGGGTTCAAGTCCCGTTGAGGTCATTCAATTTTTTTTTTCAATTGACCTAATCCTTCCAGCCGCACTATGGCCCTGGGGTCGACTCAGCCTCTAACAGAAATGAGTACCAGGAATTAATTAAATAATTTTTCTGGGGAGTAAAGCGCGGCCGGTGCGTAAGGTTGACAACCTTACCGCCATCTTTGAGCCGATTGTCTAGATAATGTGGGACCCTCAACGTCTCACAACCCTATGGACCTTCACGGCCTGTTACAGGGATAGCTTTACTTTTACTCTTCCTCCAAAACATTTGTATTCAGTCACAACTTCTAAGATTTTTTAGCTATTTTTATGTCGTAATTTTGTTCTGGAATCTTTTGAGGACACATAGATATATGTTTGGTTTTCTTAGCGTTATTTCTAGACCAACCTCTTTACCAGATACGTTTTTATGCTACTTATATTTTGGCCAAATAAATTACAGTTTGACCGACAATGATAAAATTGTGTTTGTGCGCAGGTACCGGCAAGCCAGATTCAGCTCGAGGCGAGTAAGAAAGAGAGTTGTTTTCAAGAACGGCGATTGCAACGTCATACAAGGGAACGTGGCCAAGAGAAGACGGCGTTACTTACAAGACATCTTCACAACACTCGTAGACGCACAGTGGAGATGGACTCTCCTTGTGTTCGCCCTCAACTTCCTACTCTCCTGGCTCGGCTTCGCCATTATTTGGTGGCTAATCGTGTATTCGCATGGGGACCTTAGTCCAGAAAGTAACCCCAGAGTGGCCGCGGCACTTGCTGCTTCTACGGCCAACAGCAACGCGACAATGTCATCACCAGGAGTGAGTACCTCGCATGTATGACCTCAGATTCATCCATTGTTGAGTGAATAATCGTATTTTTTAATGCAGTACACTAACAGAGATGCTGGAGCCAAATAACAGGCTATTTCTTGAAGAGTTGTTTTTCTTCTTTGGCGCTACAGCTCCAATTCGGGCCTTGGCCTACCTCCACGAAACTCTCCATTTCACTTCGGTTTGCTACATCTTGGACATTCGTTAGGATTCCTTGGGCGGGTCATCAGCTCGTCGCAAGGCCTCTACCTGTACACAAACACAGAAAAACGCACATACACACTGCGAAGTGCAGTGTGTGTCTTAGACGGCTGGGCTACCGTGACCGGCTTATGAAGAGTTACTGTGTGTTAATCTACTTCACTGTCTTGACAAAAATCATCATATACTCGTATCTACTCTTTTAATGCAATTCATAATTCCACAATATATGACACAAGAGGGATGAAATAATATGATGCCGGAGAAATGTTCATGTTGAGGAGCTTCATAATTTCTATTCTTGACCTCATATAATTATCAATTCATGGAGAATGAGATGGGCAGGGTATATGGCACGCATGGGTGAGAAGACGAATGCATACAGATTTTCCATGGTAAAACTTTAAGGAAAGAGAGTACTAAAAATACATAGCCTTACATGGAAGGATGATATTAAAATGGATCCTAGAGAAATAGGATGGGATATCGAGAGGATTCATGTAGCTGGGGGGAGGAACCAGTGGCGGGCTCTTGTGAACACAGGAGTGAACGCTCGGGTTCTGCAAAATGCTGGAAATTTCTTAGGTGGTTTAGAAAGTACTAATTTCTGAAAAAAAAAAAAAGACTGTTCCATGGAGTTAGTTATATTTAACGCTATTGTTAGTCTATGCTCATATGCACCAACTGGTCCATTCTCCGGTAGTCTTCTACCCAGAATTTTATATGCATTTACCCAGGATGTTTTGCATATCCAACGTTCCTTTTCCCTTCTAGAGCTAATCAGGGGATGCACATTAAGAGTGACGTCAAGAGCTCGCTGAGAATTTGTGACGATGCAATGTAGTCTCGATACACAATGCGTCGGGCGAAGCCCCACGAATACAAAACAGAAGATAATTTATGTTAAAAAAAAATCCGTCCATATGTTTCATCAACTGAAATATTAGCATACATTTCAAAAAGAGAATCCATCTGCTTTGATTAATGTTCTTTGCTCCTTATACCAGGAAAGTAAACTGCAGCCCTGGTAGCTTCCTCGCAAACAGCGTACCCGTAGTCTGCGTTGTTCAGTTGTCATGCATTATTCATTTGTCATCTGCTATAGAAAAATGACGCAGTGTGGGTTTCATCGTTTCAGACGTGCCTCACATCTCATCTATAAATATCCGCTGTTTTATTTATTCCTTATGGTTTAATTAACACGTTGATAGTAGTTTAGACTATCTGTCTGTCCGTCCGTGTATCTGTCTATCTATCTATCTATCTATCTATCTATCTATCTATCTATCTATCTATCTATCTATCTGTGGCTCTACAGCTCCTTGTTGGCGGCTTTTCATTTTCTTAATCATATACACAGTTGGTAGGACACCTTGGATGGGAGATCAGCCCATCGTAAGGTCTCCACCCAAACACAGGACAACACAAACACAGAATAAACACATACACATACCAACATCCATGTTTTGTGTGGGATTTGAACACACGATCCCGGCTTCCGAGCGAGCGAAGACAGTTCATGCCTTAGACCGCTCGGCTACTGTGACCGGCAGTGTATAAGAATAATATATAAGAATTCAGTCCGTACCTCACAGGAAACCGATCCGAACCCACGATCCCGGCTTCCGAACGAGCGAAGACGGTTCATGCCTCAGACCGCGCGGCTACCGTGACCGGCTGGCTCAGATCATGTAGCACTCAGTGAGAGGATGGTTAATGGATTATGGGTTTAAAAAGATTTGGATAGTAGCGGAATTTTTCTAATCAATATAGTATTCTTGAATTTGCCTGGAGGGACTAATGAAAACCACGAAACATCTCGGCCATTATAGTCAGTGTCCCATCTAAGTTTCGAACCCAGTACCTCCCAAATACAAGCCAGAAGTGTCATCGTCTGAAACAGCTTGGTATTAGTGCTAATATGAACTATTTAGTCCATTTTTATGTCACATTTTTTATTGTGTTCTGTTTCAGCGCACTGTTTCTGAAGAGAAAGAATGGACACCATGTGTGAAGGACATTTCGGGGTTTGCATCCTGCTTTCTCTTTAGCGTCGAAACTCAGCACACAATAGGGTAAGGAATTATCAGCTTAATTTCTACAGTCTTCAGCTGCTTGCAGATAATCATAAAGTTTAAATTGCTATATAAGAGATGTACAATATTCCGTGAAAATATGGAAAACTGTTTATAGGACAGACAGTTCAAGCCACTGAAACAAAGTGTAAAGGGCATACAAGCATCTACGTTTGTGCCAACCGGACAAATCCACAGTGGCAGAATATGGCATCAAGTTCCAAGCCACGAGGTACTAGCCAAAATGTGAGGCTGCGTGGACCGACTTGTCGAAAAGACAATGGAAATAAAATTACATCCAGACAACATCAACAGAAAGGAAGGTTTCTAACTCAGCTAAGCATGAAATCACAGTCTCTGATTACTGGGACCCTCAAACGCGCACAGATCAGGAGAATCCCAAGGAGGCACACAGGGAAGAGCAAGCTACAAAAAAAAAATTAAAACGAAATGAATTGACAGCTGGGACACCAGGTTAAGCGACATGGTGATGGATTGATGTCGGATGGGTGATCAACAGTTTGACTCCACCCTCCTTCAGCACAGTGCCAATGGGATTAGGCATCGACAGGTCAGACTAGTACATACTGTGACGTGACGCCTGAAAGCCGCGATCCCCCCACCCGCTGAACGGAGCTTCGCCTAACAATTTCCTAGGTAACGGTTACCTAGCCGTTTCAGTTCCTCGCGGCAACCAATACTCTGGAGACGTTACATCGAAAACGCGAAACACAACCCTTCGAGAAGGTGTCTTCTAGACCGCCCGAATGTCGAAGATAACAGATCGAGAAGACAGAAGTTCAGCGAGATGCGAAGTATAGAAGAGAAGTGAAGACAGGATACACACGGATATCGGAAGAAGAAGAACCAGAATGCGAGAGAATTCCACAAGACCAGAGGTGCAAGATGCAGACAACAGTGAGGGATTCGGTATCCAGAAGGAGTTGAATGTGTGAACTGTTATAACCGAGTTTGTGTTAGTGACATCAAATAGACCGCATCTCTGGTCTAGTGGTCAGAATTCCTGGCTACAAATTTAGAGGTTCCGAGTTCGATTCCCGGCTCTACCAGTTTTTCTGAGAAGTATTGGGTATGGAACGGGGTCCACTCAGCCTCGTGAGGATAACTGAGGAGCTATTTCGAGAATATAGCGGCTCTCGGACTAGAAAACCGAGATTAACGGCCGTGGGGATTCGTTGCACTGACCACGCGACACCCTCTATCCGCAAAAGTTCGCACTGACTTCGCCGATAAGCGGCGGTCGCTCGGTCGGTAGAGTTCGCTTGTGGACTACAGGCTACAGGGTTTGTTTGTTTTGTTGATTGTAAAGTGATTTAATGTTTGCAGATATGGGTCGAGGCACACGACTGAGGAGTGCCCGGAAGCCATCTTCGTGATGTGTCTGCAGAGTATAGTGGGAGTGATGATACAGGCCTTCATGGTGGGGATTGTATTCGCCAAGTTGTCACGTCCCAAAAAACGCACACAGACACTGCTATTCAGTCGCAATGCTGTCATATGTCAACGAGACGGCTATCTTTGTCTCATGTTCCGGGTGGGAGACATGCGCAAGTCTCACATCGTCGAGGCTCATGTCAGAGCCCAGCTTATCAAGAGGAAGGTATGTTATGACGTCATTTCTCGCTCGTGTTTTCGGTTGACAACCTTACCCCCATCTGTGAGCTGATTGTCTAGATAATGTGGGTCCCTCAACGTCTCACAACCCTGTGGGCCTTCATGGCCTGTTACAGGGATAGTTTTACTTAACCTCACCTCCATCTGTGAGCCGATTGTCTAGAAAATGTGGGAGCCTCAACGTCTCAGAATCATATGGGCCTTCACGGCCTGGTATGGGGATAGCTTTACTTTACTTTTTACTTTTATGACCTGTTAAGTTGATAAAGCGCAATGAAATCTGTGTGTGCCACAGGTGACGCAAGAGGGAGAGCTGCTTCCATATTACCAGCACGAACTCACAGTGGGCGGGGACGGCGAAGAGGACAAGATCTTCTTCATCTGGCCCACTACGATAGTACATAAAATCGACCCCTCCTCGCCGCTCTACGTTCTGTCTGCCGCCGAAATGATACGCGAGCGGTTTGAAATTGTCGTCATTCTCGAAGGTGAACACTGACCCAGGATTTTTACCCGGTTTAGAGAGAGTCTAGAAATGTGTAAGCCTTATATTTGCCCCAGGAGTCGGGATAGCTCTCTGTATAGCTATATGCTAGACGGTCGGGATTCGACTCCCGGCAGATTCCCGCATCCACACCGGCTCTGAGACCCACCCAACCTTATATCATATGGGTATCAGAGGCTCCTTCTCCTGGGGTAAAGTGGACTGGGCGTGAAGCTGATCATATAGTGCCGAGGTCAAGAATGATGGAGGAGCTTCACCTCCAATTCCCGATATGTACTTCTGGCGTGTTACGCGGCCCATACACGTACGAGTCTGGTTCGCGAGTCCGGCTTGGCGAGGAGCCGGGCTCGGATTAATTTCATCACACACGCATGAGCGTGGCGATCCGCACACGGACGAGTTTGGCTCATTCGAACCCGAGCCGAGTCGGACTCGCGAACCAGACTCGTACGTGTATGGGCCCCCTTAGTCTACTGGCTAAATACAGCGACAATTTTACCTTTCACCTACAGTTGCGCAGGTGCTTGTGCCTCTTTATGGGGGTGTATAGAAAGCAGAATAAAGCTGTAAATTCATGAAAATTAATTATTGGATATTATATATATATATGATAGTGTTCGCAAAGTATATTTAGAATAATCAAGTCAAGGAGTATTTGGTGGGCAGGGCATGTAGCATGAATGGGGGAGAAGAGGAATGCATAGAGGATATTGGTGGGAAAGCCGGAAGGAAAGAGACCACTGGGAAGACCAAGGCGTAGGTGGGTGAACAATATTAAAATGGACCTTAAGAGATAGGATGGGATGGCATGGATTGTATTGATCTGTCTCAGGAGAGGGACCAGTGGAGGGCTCTTATGAACACGGTAATGAACTTTCGGGTTCCATAAAATGCTGGGAAATTCTTGAGTAGCTGCAGAATTGGCGGCTCCTCCAGAAGGGCTCAGCTCCATGAGTGAGTAAGATATATGACAGTGAACTTACTGACCACCTAAGAGGCTGACAGTTTCTCAAGAAAATTTCGCTTCTGTTAAGTAAGTTACAGAGCCTCAGGAAGTCCAGTAGCCGTTACTTTCAAAAGAAAATATAAATTTAGCTTTAAAGTAATTATTTTTCAGTCAGATATAGAATATAGATATAGACATTATTCTATAGAATAGAATAATGTCACGGTGTGACATTTCTTATGAAGTAAATAATAGAACGCTTATACAATCACAGATATTCTGGACGATTAACAGAACACGAAAACAAGAATCTCTGCCCTTTATTGTATTAATCGTCTACCGAAAAAAATTAAACTAATCTGTATAACAACAACAACAACAACAACAACAACAACAACAACAACAACAACAACAACAACAATGCACGTTGGCCAAATATCTGATTAAATAAGTATACATTTTTATACTAATTTTAAGGCATGTTAATTATTACCCATAAACAACAATTACGATAGTTATTTCTTTCGAAAACAATGTACAGAGTTTAAAATACCTTTCTGTTGGCAGGCGTGATCGAATCCACCGGGATGACGACACAGGCGAGATCGTCTTACCTGCCCAGTGAAGTTTTGTGGGGTCACCGTTTCGAGCCTCTAGTATCGTTTAAGAAGGACACGGGAGAATATGAGGTGGATTATAGCCTCTTCAACAACACGTACGAAGTGGACACACCGCTGTGCAGCGCCAAAGCTCTGGATGACCTCAAGATCGCGCAACAGCAGCAGCAACGGCACAGGAACAACGAACATCAACAGAGGCTAGGTAACTCTGCGCCTGCGCCTCTTATCTCACTTGCTGTTCTCTCTTCTCCTTCCTTGAACATTACATTTTCTTTTTATATTCCCCTCGTGTCCTCACAGCGGTCATTATGAGAACTACTATCACCTGGGCTGAGACGCCGTCACCCAAGTCTCGGAAGAACGCCCTGCTTCCATATTCACACCCTTCTAACCTGAAGATGGAAGTATTAAACCCTCCGAAACGTCAATAACGATGTACCAGTCCATATATTGTCACATCCTGGAAGGTAGTAACCCCTATCCTTCAATCTGTACGTGTTTGGTTTTCAGAATATTTGTTTATCGAATGTGAAACTCGGTAAAGTAAGTAAAGCTATCCCTGTAACAGGAAGTGGAGGCCCAAAGGTTTGTGAGGCGTCGAGGTTCCCACATTTTCTCTAGACAGTCGGCTCACAGATGGCGGTAAGGTTGTCAGCCATACGCGTCGGCCACACTTTACCCCCAGGAAGATTCCTGGTACTCACTTCTGTTAGAGGTTGAGTCGACCCCAGGGCCACAGTGCGGCTGGAAGGATTAGGTCAATTGAAAAATCCACTTTATCGGGATTCGAACTTTACCCCCAGGAAGATTCCTGGTACTCACTTCTGTTAGAGGTTGAGTCGACCCCAGGGCCACAGTGCGGCTGGAAGGATTAGGTCAATTGAAAAATCAACTTTATCGGGATTCGATTCCTGCGACCTTCCGGCTTGTAGCATAGTGCCTCAACCAACTACGCTACCGCGTGCCCACGTGAAACTCGGTGTCTCACCGAAATTGAAGAAAATAGATTGGGGAAATCTCGAAATAGGATTCCAAGAACATCTGATGTGAAAGGAAGGGAGTAGCAAAAGGCTGGCGAAAACTGCATAATGAGCAGATCTGTATCTTTTATCCTTTGTCAAATGTTTAAATTAAGGAAGCTGAGAAGAGCAGGACCTGTAAAACGTATGTTTTTTTTTTCACTGGCTCTACAGCCTACTTGGTCCCAGACCTCTGATTTTTCAGCTCCATGATCATTTTACAGACGGTAGGACTCCTTGGACGAGTGATCAGCTCGTTACAAGGTATCTATCTAAACACAGGACAACACGTCTTGTGCGGGATTCGAACCCACGATCCCGGCTTCCGAGCGAGCGAAGACAGTTCATGCCTTACAGAGCTCGGCTACTGTGACCGGCAAAACATACGTTAGAGATGTGAAATACATTCAAAATAGTAGTTGTGAAACTTGACATTCACTCCCCCATACACCTTCATGGCGTAGTGCTTACTTAGTTAAGTACAGGGACAACTTTACCTTATTATTTCTGAAAATTTGCTTCCCAACTGACCAAGTATCCGACAGTATTCATATAATATTAAGATTCATTCGTAACCGATAGAACAGAAATCCGCGCTTGAATACATTGCCATAGCCTGTTGATGAAGATCTATTTGGGTCTATAGTGTAAGTTTTCCTCCCCTTTGAGTGCAGGTTTAATTAAAGATCATCTATATATGGAAATTTTCCCGCCAGAATTCTACATATTGTGGTATGTAGACCCGTTTCTAGGAAACGACTGCGAAATAAGCAACTATACAAGAGGCAATGCTAAATAACAGCTCTGCAAACAGACATGTTTCCACGGCAACAGAGGAGCAGTGTTTTCTGCGGGGTCCGTCCCGAGATGTTATAAGCAGGACAAGTCAAGAGTCAGTCAGGAGCGAAGATTAGTTGGTGCGGTACTGAGTTAGATAAAACAGGCGAGTCGTTGTGAGCTGTTGCTATGAGAAGACGGTAGCTGAGGCAAGGGCAGTTCGGGGACCCAGAAAGGGAACGTCCGCCATTAGAAGCCGCTACCCAAGAACGGCAAATGGAGACTGCAAGCTGAGAACACTAGTATGTGTGTGATAGTGATTTGTGAAATGTAGTAACGAGTTGTATAAATGTACAATAAATCCTATTACCAATAGAAACCCCGTCTATAGTCATACTCCACCGCGTGACACTATGTTTCCTAAATTCGAGTTATGTATCTAATCCACATAAATGTATAGATTTTTCTATACTCGGAGAGTGAGACCCTATTTAAAAATAATTCCAAAGCGTGAACTGTTTGGCGCCGCTTTGATTCTAGCCTCATAGTATATTAACTCCTGTTCATTACATAATATAATTAGACTGATCAAGTCAAGGAGGATGAGGTGAGAAGGGCATGTAGCACGAATGGTGGCTATGAGGAGTGCATGTAGGATATTGGTGGGAAAGCCAGACGGAAAGAGACCACAGGGAAGACCAAGGCGTAGGTGGGTGGACAATATTAAAATGGGTCTTAGAGAGATAGGATGGGATGGTATGGATTGGATTAATCTGTCTCAGAATAGAGACCAGTGGAGAGCTCTTGTGAACACGGTAATGAACCTTCGGGTTCCATTAAATGCTGGGAAATGCTTGAGTAGCTGAAGATTTGGCTTCTCCTCAAGAAGGGCTCAACTCCATAAGTAAGTAAGTAAGTAAGTAAGTTCCTTATATAAAAGATTGAGGGAACGTTCAACTTGCCCGCATAGTAAGAATGTCAGAGAAGTTGCCAGAATATACGGCGTTAAGCGGACCTCTGTGGAACAATAGATGCTGCATATAAATGCCGGATATGACGTTGCGTATTTATGTGGGCTGGCTTCCTTCCCGCTTCTGACGTTTTGCAATGTATATTATACAGCGTGTTCCGAGAATAAGGGGACAGGTTTCGGGAGGTTCATCAGCAGATGATTTTGTTCGAAATATATGACAGTATATCACCGTGTGTGAGCGTGGGTCGTATAGTCGGTATAGCGACTGCCTGTGGACTGCACGATCGAGGGGTCGGAGTTTTGAGTCCCGGTAGGGTTAGAATTTTCTCTATTCCATATCATCCAGACCGGCTCTAAGGCCCCCCTATCCAATGGGTACCGGGGGTAAAATGGCAGGGGCGTGAAGCTGATCACTCACCTCTAGCTAGTGCCGAGGTCAAGAAAATGTGGATCTATACATCCACTCCCCCATACGCCTTCATGGTGTAGTGCTGAATTAGTTAAGCACAGGGAAAAATTTACCTTTATATTACCGTGTGTCACTCTTCGAACAGTTTCCAAAACGCTGTATTCTTCAGAAAACCGAACGATGAATAAAGTCCTAAAACTCAGTAATTCTGAGTGTCAGAATCTTTTAGAACAGAATTCTGCTTCAAATCCGAGAAAGCTAGGTTTTAATCTCGGTCCGAGGACCGGCTATCTTGACTGACGTTTTCGTGGTTTTCTCCAGTCCCTGTAGGCAAATGTCAGGATCATACGTCAAATTATGTCACAAACGCTTCCTTCAAAAACTTCTCCAACTAATTGTTCATTGATAACTCCTGCGCTGTGCGCTACGTGATATGAGTTGTTGAAAACACCGATAAATAAGTAAATAAATAAATGCCATTGCCACGTGAAACATGTTTTGATTTAAAAATTATAAATCACTCCGTCCAATGTGACCTGTAAATTTTTTACTACATAAAAACTTAACACCCTTACATGTTTCGGTCTCTGTGGACCATCTTCAGAGGGCAAACATCACTACAAATAGGAAACCACTATCACATAATTTGTGTATATATATAATATAAGTGTACGTGTAAGTTTGCGTGTAAACAAATTTTGTGATAGTGGTTTCCTATTTGTAGTGATGTTTGCCCTCTGAAGATGGTCCACAGAGACCGAAACATGTAAGGGTGTTAAGTTTTTATGTAGTAAAAAACTTACAGGTCACATTGGACGGAGTGATTTATAATTTGTAATTGTTATTGTGACGGACCAGAATGAAACAAATCAAACTTTTGATTTAACCTTGCAACAGTACATTTTATATTTATAGTAACTTAACACATACAGAACATTAATTCACGCGTCTGGAGAACACGCGGGGGCTACACGATGGCTTAACTGTCTTTATGAAGTCACGAAAAGGGTCTGGAAAAGAACAGACTTAATGTGCAACGGTGGTTCTGAAACTGTGGAGCGCGCCTCGCAAATGGAACAGAGAGACACCCAGTCTCTTTCAATTGAGACCTTATGCAATTGGGTTAATCGAGCGAGTATTTATTTCCAAATCAACATTTTTAGTCCTTTTGTCATGACAATAAAACTATTTAAAAGTCGGCTTTTGCGAAGACTGACAAAGTGCTTCGCTTGACAGCTCAACAGATGGCAGCAGCATGTACCTATATAAATGAGTGATGCAAATTACGTGTTCTATCATACGAACTGTGTGGGAAGGCGTGGAGCCATTATGTATGATATTGCATTCAGTACTGTAATGAAAAACTTTTTCGTTTTTGAAATATCACCAAGTAATGTATTGATTTTATGATAAATACAGTATTACGTGGAATAAAACTTTTAAACGCTGCTGATCGGCTGTCATTTTGAAGAACGCCGTGTTCATGTTGACGGAATTATATTTAAACTTTACTCATAAATATTTTAATTATATGTTGAAGTGTTCTGAAAGAGTTTCGCGAATAAAATTTGAGTCACATTGGGTTGAAACAGTTTGGATATGCAAATAAAAATTTCATTCGGCATTCTGGTGGGGAAAATTCTTGAAAAACTGAAGAGAAGGAAAACAAGGATATCTTAAGGATGGATTTTAGAGAAGTATATTGTAAGAATATGAGATGGGTGGACCTTGCTCAATATCAAGTGCGGCGCCAGGATTTGTTATTAGCTATGCTGAACCGTGTCCTATATAAAAGAGTTTTCAAGGTTTCTACTAATATTCTTCCCTGTAAACGCGTTCCTGCGTCACGTTTGTGATATTTGTATTATCTCTACGGAAATTATTACCATTAACACATAACAAGTATCTGCTTTCAACCATTCTCTCTCGGTCTTGATTCTGTCGGACTTCTCTTTTACCATATATTACATAAAATTAAAAAGCAGCGAGGCTAAAGCACCGCCTACATTTGATGATTATATACCTACCCAGCGCTTTATTTCCCAAAAGTATTTTTACAGAATTCCTACAGAATTTCTAAACAATAAAAAAACTCGCTCTGAAGCCGGGATCATGGGTTCGAATGGGCACGGATATTTAGTGTTTGTGTTGAGGTAGAAGCTTTGCGACGAGTGATCACCCTCCCAAGGAGTCCTATCGAATGTCTAGTAAACAGAAGTGAAACGGAGAGTTTCATGGAGGTAGGCCAAGGCCCAAATTGGATCTGCAGCGTTAAAGGGGGGGAAAACAAAAGAACTAGGCGTAGTCCACAGAATGTAAGCACGTTTGTGACAGCATTTAGAAACTTACTGAGTGCTAGGCGTGAAGGGGAGACATTTACAATTGTGCTGCGTTTATCTAATTGCAGAACTGTCAAGGACCATAAATTCATTCTTTTTTTAGGGAGAGAAAAGTCGAACGGGAATTCTCGGTATAGGATTTACTGAAGTAATCCAAGACGACAGCTCTTGAGGTTACTCATAAGAGGTTTGAATATGAAAACCCGCTTAGGTTTTGACACTCACTGCAAATTAATTTTCACTTTTCCTTGGAATACACATTCTTTTTCACAATGAATGAAATGTACTTATTAAGGCCTACAGATGCAGTGTTGCCTTTTATGCATTTCCAAGTTAAAAGGTTAGTAAATTAACGATGAATTAAGATACTCTCCCTCTTGGTTTCCTTTCAGATACCAGGGACTTAGATGCAAGTATGGTCGCCTCTATGGTCTAGTGGTCAGAGTTCCTGGCTACAGATTCTGAAGTCCCGGGTTCGATTCCCGGCGCTACCAGATTTTCTGAGATGTAGTGGGTCCGGAACGGGGTCCACTCAGGCTCGTGATGATAATTGATGAGCTTTTTCAAGGATATAGAGGCTCCGGTCTAGAAAACCGAAATTAACGGCCGTGGGGATTCGTTGCGCTGACCACGCGACACCCTCTATCCGCTAAAGTTGGTACTAACTTCTGCCGACAAGCGGCGGTCGCTCGGTCGGTATAGTTCGCTTGCGGACACAAGCCACAGAGTTTGTTTTGTTTGGTTGCAAGCGTACGGTTTTGGATGAAATGTAGTGTTTTACGTGCAAGTGTACTGTTTTACATGCAAGTGTATGGTTTTTCAGAGCGGCTGATGTCTCCCACAATGTACCCGGCGTTACATGCACCACCTTCAGACACGCTGGATCTAGGCAGCACGGATTCGAACAGCGCATCCATAGAAGAGCCTTCAGTGGTGACCGTAACTTCGCCAATAGATGTGCCAGGCCCTGAGTCTACCATCTAGCGCCCAGGTAGGCATGACCGTAGTAACTTAGCGGAGAAACCGTCTAGGTCAACGATGTGTTATCTGGAATAGAAACATGTTAGTACGACAACTGAGCCGGTCACGGTGACCGAGCGGTCTAAGGCATGTACTGTCTTCGCTCGCTCGGAAGCCGGGATCGTGGGTTCGGATCTGTTTCCTGTGAGGTACGAACTGAATTCTTATATATTATTCTTATACACTGCCGGTCACAGTAGCCGAGCGGTCTAAGGCATGAACTGTCTTCGCTGGGTTCGAATCCCACTCAGGGCATGGATGTTTAGTTTGTGTGTGTGCGTTTTTCTGTGTTTGTGTACAGGTAGAGGCCTTCGACGAGCTGATCACCCCCCCCCAAGGAGTCCTACCGAATATGTAAGATCTAGAAAAAAAACGAAGTAGGTAGTAGGCCTAGGCCCATTGGGGCTGTAGTGCCAAGAAAAAGAAAAAAGACAACTGAACGTAGCCTATGTCGTGATGGTCGCATTGCTACTAGCATTTTTTTGTGCATTTTTATCCAAAGTGAATAAAATGAAGGCACACAATTGAGCTTGTGTCCTTCCTTCTGGTCACATGTTTTTCCTCTGAAGTCGCTGAATATATTTCGATGAAATTTAGTAGCTGGGCCATGGTGCGGCTTGTAGTAACCCTAATAACATCATGGCGGCTACGCGAACTTCAGATACAAATATCGCTTCATGTTTCGTTAGGAACTTTCGCGCGGTAATTGGTCTTCGAAAAATTACGTGGTTAATGCTAAGGCAGTCGTTTTTAGAATTCAAAACACGAATGGCTTCAGCGAGAAATATAAATTTGGCTTTTTGTTTCATGATAATAGCATACGAAAAAACTGAAGATATGCGTTGAAATTCTGGTATGCAGATCATAATCAAAAACAAAGAAAACAAACTCTGTGGCTTGAGTCCGCAAGCGAACTATATGCGACCGAGCGACCGCCACTTGTCGGCGAAGTTAGTGGCGACTTAAGCGGATAGAGGATGTCGCGTGGTCAGCGCAACGGATCTCCACGGCCATTAATTTCGGTTTTCTAGACCGGAACAGACTGTTACCCTGGATATGAAAGGCAGAAATCTTCAAGGAGGTGATTCCAGTCTTAGCTACGTAACGGGGATAAAAGGAGGCCAGTTGGGAAGCCGTCATTTCAGAAGCAGTGTAGAAGAAGAAGAAGGAAAGAGGAAGAAGAAGTGAGTCGGCAGTGACTTAGCGTTCTCTCGAGAGCCACGCAGAGCTAAGCAGGGAGGAATTCGTTATCCAGAAGGAGTTAAATGTGTGAACTCTTATAATCGAGTGTAATTGTAATAGTGACGTCAAATAAATCCAGTCACCAAATCTATAATCCACAATTATTAGTCACGTTACTCAGGATACACGTGACAATATCGAAGATGACAGTAGTAAATTTCTTAAAATCATACAAATTGAAAGACAGCTCTTACTTTTCGATTCACCCTGTAGTTGAACCACAACAGGAGTGTCTCCTGGCAAGAGACTCGTGTTTCTGCTTGCCAGATTGCCCATAATGAGGATGTGAGGGGGGGATATACAATTTTATATCTTGAAGCTCAGCAACGGCCTTCAGGAACAAACCGGTACTTCGACGTTAGCCTACGAAATCTCTCGCCTTCCATGTAGCTAATTCAGTACTTCGGTAGAGTTTATTTAGGAATGGGTACTTTCGTTAGTTGAGACGTAGCTCTGTAATTACAAAAAGAAAAGCAGTTAACATGCGACTTTTGTTATTATTTCTTCTGGTACCATTTGTCACCAAGTTTCTTCGTGGAATTTTGCTTCCTGCTTCACCACTGTCTTTCCATCATATCATCTTGTTTTTTGTTGATATATTTTTTAAGATGCAACTAATATAAGTAATTTTTGCCAATGATTTGGAAAGTAAAACAATATTCAGTTATGACAAATAACTCCGACACAAACGAAAGACACTTAATTAGTTTGAGGAGAAAGTTATTGGAAGAATTTATGACGTCGAATTTCCTTTAAATGTGTCAATATACAAGATAAAAACATTTTATGACAACTTATGTCAGTTTCTGTATATAATACCCTCTAGCAGATACAGCATCGAAATACTGGATACTTGAGACACTGTTCATTGTTAATACGTATATTAGATTTTGACCCTGAGGATGGAGGCATTATGGTCCTACGAAACGTCGGTTTATTTCTATTGGGCTCCACGCTATTCTATCTCAGAAGACATCGTCACCACTGTGGAACCTCAAACCCAACATCCTGAACACGAGTATGTTCGTATATTGTTTATTGGGATGAGAGAATAAGCTTCACAACCATACGCAACAAGAGATCACTTTGGAGACCTAGACGTAGATGGTAGGTCACTTTTAAAGTGGTTATTTAAGAAATATGGCTCAGAGGTTTGAAGTGAATAATTCTAGCTAATCAGAATCTAGTCCTTGGTGAGCTATTTTTGAGTATTAAATTGAACCTTCTCTGGAGACGGTATAGCGACTGGTTACGGGCTGGACGATCGAGGGGTCGGAGTTCGAGTTCCAGTAGAGTCAAGAATTTTCACTTCTCCAATCATCCAGACCAGCTCTGGGATCCACCCAACCACCTATAAAATGGGTACAGGGGGTTCTTTCCCGGGGGTAAAGCGGCCAGGGCGTGAAGCTGACCACTCACCTCCAACCAGTGCCGAGGTCAAGAAAATGTGGCTCCTTCATACGCCTTCATGGCGTAGTGCTTAATTAGTTAAGCACAGGGACAACTTTACCTTCTTATCTTTATGGTTTTAGAAATGGCGTGACCAGCTGAGCGACTATCGGTGTTTGTTATATTTATGAGTGTACGAACATTACAAGGGAATTGATGAAGTTTGATATGAGTTCTTATACTAAGAATGTGATTTCCTAATTTATTGGTCCCTTTCCTTGGCAGATGTTTTTAAAACGCGGAAAACAGTTCGTATTAATAAATGGGACGAAAATATCCTTTAGAGTTTTATATAGTGTTTTTTTTATTTTTTGTTTATGATTTAATTAATTAATTCGCTTAGTGGGGGGTGGAGTCCAGCTGGGTCCACTCGGCACGGCAGCCACTGATTGGCCTATTGTACCTACCCCGGGTTATTATGATGATGGAGAATTTGGCGGAATGAAGATTGGCAGGGGAAACCGAAGTACTCGGAGAAAACCCGCCCCAGCGCCACTTTGTCCATCACAAATCCCACTTGAACAGACCCGGGATCGAACCCGGGCCGCTGTTGTGGAAAGCCAGCGACTAACCGCTTGATCTATGCCGCGGCCTTTTTGTTTATGATTAAAATAATTCTAATGAAATTATTTACAGTTTAACTGGGTGACTGGATTAACTGAACGATTTCCTATCCTTCGTTACCTATAAAAAATTTAACCAACTTTACATGGTCCTTTTTCTCAAGATCTTTTTTCGTATTTTGGGGAGTGGGGGGTGGAAAGGCCGCCTCTGTAGTCTAGTGGTCAGAGCTCCTGGCTACAGATCCAGAGGTCCCGGGTTCGATTCCTAGCGCTACCAGATTTTCCGGGAAGTAGTGGGTCTGGAACGGGGTCCACTCAGCCTCGTGAGGATAATTGAAGAGCTATTTCAAGCAAATACCGGCTCCGGTCTAGAAAACCGAGATTAACGGCCGTGAATATCTATTGCGCTGACCACGTGACGCTTCCGCTTGAATGTGTTTACCGAGTTGTTGCTTAGCAATGGATGTATAAGTCACAATATATTTACGTTTCAGACGACTCACAGAGCAAACAGCTATTATTTGCTTAAACTGCCTTATCCAGTTGGTTTTATAAAGGCGATGCATTGTGTTTCCTGAGAGATATGAACTGAATTTTTAGGTAATACTTCGAAGAGATAATGTAAAATTCTAAGTGCTTGTCAAGCATGGGTATGCTGACAAGGCCTACTAAGTGTATCGAAATTTATCGAAATTCTGACATCATGTGACCACCTCCATTCTATATGTTAGATTTTGAAAGACATACTTCTTGGGGTAATTTTGAATCCGTTGGATTATTTACATATGACAGCGACAAACACAAACTTGCGGTAATTTAATGAACTGTTGTGAGGTACGCACCAGAAGAGGACAAATCAGCTTCATGAATCGCGGGTGACAGAAGTGTAGGGGGGAGGGGGGTTTCTGATTAACACTCGGCCAGAGCAAATTGCATGATGAGTACATACATCCTACTTGAAGGGCTGGCGCTGCTCCACAGAGCCGTTAAATTACATAGGCCTGCCATCCTAATTCTTTGGCCGTCCTGACCTTCACGGCTAAGCAGGAATACCAGTTTATGTACGCTCAATTAAGTTCCTACTTCAGAATGAAGCCACTCTTGTCACGTCTTCCACATACCTTCAATTATCCAAATAGCCAGACAGAAGAACTGCTATTAGTGGAGTCTTTATTTCATTTCTGTTTAATTTCCTTACATTTCTTCATTCTTCTGGGATGCAGCGTCGTGTAGGTGGTTGCAGCCCACCTGCTCACGCTGGTTCGTCGCTAGCGGATTTTTCTTCCCTTAAAATGGTGATACGTTCCTCCGAAACGTCGGTTCACACAAAATCTACACGGTGCCACTTCCCAGAAGATGGAATTATTCATAGTCACCGCCGTGAAAACCTAAAATCTTACCTACTCATTTTGTTTTTGATTCCTTTCGGGGTGTTTGGATAGGTCAGTCGGGACTGAGGGCCGGTGTTCTATTCCCATCAAGGGCAAGAGATTTTTCTGTACTCTACAGCGTCTAGAGCGGCTCTAGGGCCTACCCAGCCTCCTTAACCAATGGATACCGGGGGCTGTTTCCTCGGGGATAAAGCAGCCTGGGCGTGAAGCTAAACACTCACTTCCATCTAGCGCTTAGTTCAAGAATGATGAAGCTATGCCTCCATTCCCCATACGCCTTCATGGCGCAGTAATTAACTTCTTAATCAATTCAGTACAGGTGCTTTTTTATTTTTTTACCTTCTCACTTTCTTCTTATCTCTCTTCCTTCCTTCCATTATGCCTTTCTTTCATCTTCATTTCCTTCTCACTGGACCGTTTTATACACCACTTGCCCTGAACCTTCTGCATCTTGCGTCCCAACGGTCATTTCATTAAAAGTCCAGAGTCCCATCACAGTAAGAACAAAAGCTTATCTCTCTCCAAGAAGTGCATTTTATAAATATGTACAAAATTACCGCCTCTGTGGTCTAGTGGTCAGAGTTCCTGGTTACAGATCCTGAGGTCCGCGTTCGATTCCCGGCACTACCAGATTTTCTGAGAAGTAGTGTGTCTGGAACGGAGTCCACTCAGCCTCGTAAGGTTAATTGAGCAGCTATTTCAATGAAATAGCGGCTTGGATCTAGAAAATCAAGATTAACGGCCGTGGGGATTCATTGCACTGACCACGTGACGCCCTCTATCCGCTAAATTTGGCATTAATTTCCGACAAGCGGTGGTCGTTAGGTCGGTATAGTTCGCTTGCGGACTAAAACCACCTCGCATCTCACTTGGCCGACCATTAAGTCCCACCGCTTGATACACACCTCTATAGACCACAGTTTTAGCGTTTATTTTGACGTCATTACGTGAGACTGTCCCCCCCCCATTAACTGTGATACTTATGTCAGTCTCTTTGTAATGTCAGAGATCTATATGCTGCCGTGGAACCTCGGGCCTATCCCCATCTTAAAAACACACTCCTGCCAGTAGTCTTACATTTACACTTGTTGCTGGAAACAGGGAAAACTGTAACAATTCCAGCTTTGATATTAATCAGGTTGAACTTCGGCTTCGATTTTGAGAACACCCTGGTTCAAAAATTTGGCGGAGACCGGGCATCCTGACCGACGTTTCTCGTATTTCTCTTCCGACCCTCCGTGTAAAGGTAAAGCTGTCCCTGTGCTTAACTAATTACTCGTAAGCACTACATCATGAAGGTGTATGGGGGAGTGGATGTATAGATCCACGTGTTTTTGACCTCGGCGCTAGCTGGAGGTGAGTGGTCAGCTTCACGCCCCGGGGAAATAGCCCCCGTACCCACTGGATTATTTCCATGTAAATGCTGAAACATTATCTGAAATTAATGTGCGACCACCACTGTCACATTATTTTGAATTAATTATTCACAAAATCGTCGTATCAATAGACCACGCATGTCCAACACGTCGATCGCGCGACGATTTTTGGTCAATCTCATAGGCCCATAAGGAAATTATACGTGAAAAGCATGTAAATTCACTTGTAATATAACATGATTATATTCAGATTTTGAAGGGAAAATACGTATTAAACTAGTCTGTACTTTCAATGTATGTTGCTTTTACAAAAACATTATGTGTCGTGTTATTTTTACCAATGTTTTTGCTTAAAGCGAGGTACGACGATAGGAGGGAGTGGTAGATCACTGGCAGTTTTGACACTAAAAGTCAATCACATCCTGTTTGAAGTTGGACATGCCTGCAATAGACTATAATCTCAATTAGTGGAAGTGTCATTAAAGAGATAAATGAAGACACGCTAAGCCTATACATATCAAAAGGCAGACCGTGATTGTTCCTTCGTAAATGCTTTTGTAAAAAGCTAACCATGACAAGCCACCATCACCTAAACATGGACATTTTTTTTTTCCTTCTGGTTTTACCGACCTAATGGATACGGAATTTTGGCTTGGGGACTTAAAAGAGTTGCTGAACTGGAACGATGATCCTCAATTTCACATTCGAGAGATCCTGCTTGAGTTTTACGGCAACCAATCACCTTGTCATCTGGGAATGAGACTGCTGTTAGTTCCACATAACGTCATGAAAACTGTACACAGGTTTGGGCATTTCCTTTCCGAACCTAACGCCAACACTGAGGTTAACTAACAACTTATGGTAAGGTAAGGTAAAGTTGTCCCTGTGCTTAACTTATTAAGCATTTCGCCATGAAGAGGTATGGGGGAGTGGATGTATAGATCAATATTTTCTTGATCTCGGAACTAGCTGAAGGTGACTGGTCAGCTTCATGCTCCAGCCGCCTTACCCTGGGGAAAGAGACCACGGTACCAATTCGATAGAAGGTTGGTTGAACTCCAGAGCTGGTCTGGACGACTGGAGAAGTGAAAATTCTTGAAACTACCGGGACTCGAAATTCAACCCCTCGGTAGTCCAGCCCATAGCCAGTCGCTATACTGACTACGCTATCAACAACTTCGTCCTACGTTTAGAAGATTCAGCATGTTATGTTATCAGACTGAGGACAATTTCAGTTTTCATTCACATGTATTTATAATGCACTATCACTACGTATAATTTGTGCATACCAGTAGTAAGAATATTGGATGATAAACAGTGGAAAGTATTATGGAAACACATCATAATTTACATTTCAATATTTAGTCATATATCAGACGGAGAGTTCAATATCTGTTCACCCCATTCCGAAACTTCGTTCAATGTGAAGTTATATTTGCATATGGCGCATAAAATTTATAAGTTAACAGATTTGGGCTTCACTCCTATTCCAAAAAGTAAAAGTAAAGCTATCCCTGTACCAGGCCGTGGAGGCCCATAGGGTTGTTAGACGTCGAGGCTCCCACATTATCTAGACAATCGGCTCATAGATGGCGGTAAGGTTGTCAGCCTTACGCACCGGCCGCGCTTTACCCTCAAGAACATTCCAAGAATACTCCAAGAATATTCCTGGTACTAATTTCTGTTAGAGGCCTAGTGCGGCTGGAAGGATTAGGTCAATTGAAAAAAAAATCCAATGACCTCATCAGGACTTGAATCCGCGACCTTCCGGCTTGTAACATAGTGCCTCAACCAACTACGCTACCGCGTGCCCCTCTTGTAGCATGGTGCCTCAACCAACTACGTTACCGCGTGCCCCTCTTGTAGCATGGTGCCTCAACCAACTAAGCTACCGCGTACTCCTCTTGTAGCATAGTGCCTCAACCAACTACTGTACCGCGTGCCCCTCTTGTAGCATAGGGCCACAAACAACTACGCTACCGCGTGCCCCTTAATTCTATTTCTATTTTGCATAATTTGTTCCGAGGACCTTATTCTGTGGTTGCGCAAATTACGGCGGTAACTGTATAAATCATGATCAAGTCAAGGAGGATGAGGTGGGCAGGGCATATAGTACGAATTGGGGAGAAGAGGAATGCATATAGGATATTGTTGGGAAAGCCAGACGGAGAGAGACCACTGGGAAGACCAAGGCGTAGATGGGCGGACAGTATTAAAATGGATCTTAGAGAGATAGAATGGGATGGTATGGATTGGATTGATCTGGTTCTGGATAGGTACCAGTAGAGGGTTCTTGTGAACACGGTAATGAACCTTCGGGTTCCATAAAATGCTGGGAAATTCTTGAGTAGCTGCAGAATTGGCGGCTCCTCAAGAAGGGCTCAGCTCCATGAGTAAGTAAGTAAGTCATATATTAGACGGAGAATTTTGCATAGAGCGCTGTAGTGAAGTGAAGGCACTATCTGTTCACCCGATTCGAAACTTCGGTCGTCTGAAATTAAATTCGCATATGCTGTATAAAATTTATAAGTTGGCAAATTTGGGCTTTAATTCTATTTTTGTTTTATATAATTTTTTCCGAGGGCCCATATTCTTTTGCTGCGCAAATTATGGCGGTAACTGTATGAATTACTTTGTTCGCAGGAAGAGAGAGAGAGATGTTGGTCTTGACAGGCAGTGAAGCAGAAGAAGAATATAAATCCGTCCATTGAACAGACACAACCAATGTAACTATAAGTAGTTGCTATCATGCTCAGTAACATAATGTGAATAAGTGTGCTTCTGGTATTGTGTTCTCCGTGGTGGTCGAGGCAAATCCAGCACAGTAACGGTGCATCTGCTATTACTCGTATGTGACCACAAGCGTAACACGTTGCAACAGACTGATACATTTCTGTTGGGCTCGTCTAACTCCTGAGACACTTGGAAAACAGTAAGAGTTGATATCTGCGCGTGTCATTTTGGCTACAACGCTTTATCACGTTGGTATCAAAATGACCCAGACTGTTCATATATTTGATTACATAAAGGCTATTTATGGACGATTTGAAAGAAACGATAGACAACTAATAGTGTTGCACTTTGCATTATGCTTCCTGAATAGAGAAATAAAATTTCCCAACTAAAGATAATTACTATGAATTTTCGTACGGTGACAAGTTATCTGTGTGCAATTGTAGAACAAGATATGATTTTGTGAATATCGTCTTAGTATGTTCTAAGAAGTTTCAACATCCTTACTTTGAAAAGACTGGATTTGTATTCGAAATAACTATCCATTGATCTGCTAGACTCAACTTATACGTGAGATATTTGGAAATCAGTGTGAATGTGTTCATATATGTTTATTTAAGACTTACTTTTCACGTCAGTGTTTCTAGAATATTTCACTTTTGCTCAAGAATTACTTATGGATTCCACTTAACCATTGTTATGACAAATTCATATACGATATCACATTGGTACATCTGAAGTTGAAGAGGTTATATTTCAACAGGAAGTCGCATGGAAGTCAGTGCACATAGATGGATAGTACAGCCTGTCGCAGCTTCTTTCCTACAAATATTTTTAAGCGTACGACTGTCAACACTGCTTGAAATAAATACCCATCATCACACTTGCAGAACGTTCCATTTTCACGTATAAGAAACTTCCTCGTGTGTGTATTAATTTCATCTGGAACACGCTTTGTAAGTGGAGACTAAACATGTGCTTGGAATACTACAGGATTTTCAACAAAGTCAGTGACAGTGAAATAAGTGGCAGACAGCACAACGATGGAACACAAAATTCTATTTCGTTTCACATGTAAATGGGCCTAAAAACAAACAAAACTTCTAACAAAAAGAAATAATTCATTCGTTACGAAATAAGAGAATTAAAAAAAATTAATACGTTAATAGAAATATTACTTCTCTCCTAGAACATATTTAAATATGAAATTATTTAAGAATAAAATGTTATGAAATTATAATTTAAAAGAAAATGCATTCTTTGATATGCAGGCGAATTAGATGAAGGGGGCTTTCCCTGAAGCGTGTAACAGAACCAGTCTCAGGCTGAAAAGTGACAAGAAATAATACACAGTGCTGTGATATGTACTACAATTTCTAGAACATTCCAGTTGATTACACAAGATTCGCATTCTGATTACATACTTCACTTTTATTTTTGTATTGTTTCCAACAACCACTGATGGAAAAAAGTTTTGGACGTTACATATTTACTACTACCGCCACCAAAGTCAGCAAAGGAAGGTTTACTTAAAAAATTCTGGTTGGGAAAATCTAACACATCTACATGTTATTGTCGTAAACTAAGATTGTGTCTGGGAGCACCGGAAATGAATTCGAGATCACTAAAATATTTTATACCGTCCGTCTATAAAGTATTATAAAACAGCACTGAATTAAACATTTTACTTTCTTGTGTGTCATTTTTATCCTACAATGCAACATTCATAATTGCCATACGAAGTTTCCGCCGCCCTCATAAAATCGTGATGCCAGAACTGAATGAGTGACCTCCTCCCACTAACTCAGCGTACCGTGACTTTCGCCGTACCAACACATCCACTCGTCAACTCGCTACAGTGAGTCGTGCACCAACAGGGTACATGCAACCGCACGATAAGTCTGTGTAAGGACTAAATTAAAATGTACTCCCTTCAGGACTAAATTAAGTCTTTGAGTGAATTTCAAGAGTAAGAAGTTGAAGAAATATATACACCAACTGTTTTAGCGTTTCAGTTTTACTGAGTAAACCATTCAGAACTGAACAGGAAACAACAATTGAGCGATTCCTTACACAACAAATCAATAAATTCCATTCAATCAGATTCTTATCAGAGGCTGAAGACAAAAACAACCTGCATATCAACGTGTAAGAAAGAAGTGTGTGCTTATTACACCTGTAGATCGTCAATGTTGCCAACGTCGACATAACAAAGTTACAGCTATGAAGGCTTTCCACAAGATTGTTGAAGATGAAGATGAGGATATACACGGAGCATCCCGAGCTCCAACGGCAGTTCCCGAAGATGATGAAGTGGATGATGAAGTTTCGTCTTACAGCTGTGACAATCTGAGTAAAGGTGTGCCCCAATCTTCGGGTGTCATGGTAGCTGGTGCTGAGGCTACTGGACCTTTGCTGGGGGTTGTAGGTGCTGGTGGAGGAAGGGATGGTACCAAGCCGACTTGCACTCTCGTCCGAGTGTCCACATATGCAAGCTCTCTCAACCAACCGATGTACAGGTAAGGGTTACATTTTTATTAAATTCTTACCCCAAAGCGTGGTTAATGCAGGTCAACATGAAGTCAAAACAATTTTTTTTTTTCAATTATGTAAGTCCAAAATATTTCAGCTGTCATTTTATATGGGTGAGGCACGCGGTAGCGTAGTTGGTTGAGGCAGTATACTAAAAGTTGGAAGGTCGTGGGATCGAATCCCTATGAGGTGGAATTTTTCAATTTACCTAACCCTTCCAGCTGCACTATGGCCCTGGGGTCGACTCAGCCTCTAACAGAAATGAGTACCAGGAATCTTCCTGGGGGTAAAGGGCGGCCGGCGCATAAGGCTGACAACCTCACCGCCATCTGTGAGCCGAATGTCTAGAAAATATGGGAGCCTCGACATCTCATAAACCCATGGGCCTCCACGGCCTGTTACATGGCTTTACTTACTTTCTTATATGGGTGTGAAACTTGGTCTCTCAAACTAGAGAAAGAAGACAGATGGAGAAAAAAAATAATGAGGCGAATATTCGGGTATAAGAAAGAGGACGCACCAGGGTAGTTGAAATAATTACATAATAGCGAGCTTTATATTCTGTTTTTTTCATCTAATTAGGATAAATAAATCAACTCGCATGGAATGACCGTTATTTGTAACACTCATGGGTGAAGGTTCATTTCCATACAAAATTTGAGTCAGAAAACTGAAGAGAAGCGAATTCTTGATAATATTTCTAGGCATAATCTAAACAAGACCGTTTGATACTGTGTGTTATCTATATGTCTTTGCTGTACCGTCCTCATGTACTTATACAGGCAAGAGCTGTGTTAAAAAACGTCATCTGAAGGATACACATGTAACTTAATTCAGTGTTTAAAGGAGAAGTGAGGAAATGAAAGATTATGAAAGATGAAGATACTAAAGAAATTATCTGTCGATAAATTCCAATGTTCTCTCCCACTGGTAGGGAAATAATAATAAAACTCGTGTTAGAGAAACTGGACATGAGCGTATGGACTGGATTCAAATGGTTCAGGGTTGGAAACAATAACGGTTTTTATACGAAGATGAAACTTCAAATTCCGAAAAATAATATAAGCTCAACGGTTAACGAGGATCTGCGCTGTAGGATGAGTTAGTGTTTATCAGCATGGCTTATTTGATATTATTTAACCCTTTAGAGACTGAATCTCTTCTAAATAATATATAAGAATTCAGTTCGTACCTCACAGGAAACATGTTACATCTCCGCTACAAAGCATAACCGGTTAATGCCATTCAAACTATGCACAAAAAAAAATTGTAGAAACACATATGTAAACTTTTTCTTAAAATAAAGCAACAGCCTAGGGACTAATGTTAGGGTTCACGTATTTAAGCCGGACTGCTGGCTAGAAATCAGTTTGCATCCGGAAGGTCCTGAGACCGGCCAACTCGATCAAGGTTCTCCGTGGTTTTCCTCGATCCTAGAGCAAATGCTCAGTTGATACCCAAATTCCACGTTGCACTGCACGCTTCACATGCAGCCCTCCCATTTGTAACATCAAAATTTCGCCCTATATAGCACTTCCAACGTTAGCTAAAATGTTACTATAATGCACCTCTTCCAGCGCCATAAAAATGAACAAAATAAATACATAGAAAGAAATAAAAAAACCCGATCATATGTTCTACCTATACCAGAAGGACAGGCGGACACTGTCTGGGAACCTTCAAAACCCGAGATATAATTTCTTACCCCCCCCCAATGTAGTATCTCTCACTACCACCCTGCTTCTTCCCTCTCTATCTCTGTTTAGGAAAGTAAATCGCTGTTTATTGTGAGAACCGTATGGAACACACAGAACACTCTGTGGGCAGAATGCGGAGACTTACTGTGTCAAAGCGGACGGTACATATAGTGCTAATGCACTAGTTTGCCCGCGATGAATAATAATAGAGACCTATTTTACGTGTGGCAGACTGAATTCCTTTTACACATTCTACATTCTCCTGGAAATCAGTGTATTATTATTGACTGTAGACCGATAGGACTGGGAATTACGTGATCTTCTGAGATATTAAAGAGAACTTCATGATGAAGTGAGTGTACTATAATAAAATATATTTCATTTACATTTTTTCTTACTCTACTCTTATATTTCTCTATTTATTATCAGTTTATTTAATGGCGCTGTAAATAACTCAGATTATATAGCCTCGAGTAATAAATTGTAAAGGATGCATAAATAAGCGATCTTTATGTATTTCAAGGTACTATCCCGGAAATTTCCTGCAGGGACTGAGGAAATCCACGAAGAATCATAGGTTGGCCGGTATTGAGATTGAGACTCGAACCGTATACCTTCTGAGTGCAAGTTAGAAGCGTTACGGGTTTAGCTAACTTATATTGTGCTGCTGCTACTGGACGGTTCCTTGGTTAAGGAATTTGTAAGTTGCCCATACTGAGATTATCTTGATCTGTAAGGACTCGCTAGGAAGCATTTATGGAGTACATCTTCTCATTAGCTATGGAGTGACACTATTCGGTTTAGATTTATTCCTGGCAGTCTTGACTGTTTAGCATGTAAGAATCTGATTTCTGACATTAAATTCCAGCATCCTGTTGTACTGCGTGGATCTGACTTTGCGTTCCACTTTTTTTATACCATCTATATGCAACCGACGTTACACATAGACGACAAAAAGGTGGAACGCAAAATCAGATCTGCTTCCCGAGGCTATAATGATTTCACAGTGAATATTTTTTTTCCCTTGGCATTACAGCCCCAGTGGGCCTAGGCCTACTTCCATGAACTTCTCCGTTCACTTCGGTTTTTCTAGATCTTACACATACGGTAGGACTCCTTGGGCGGGTGATCAGCTCGTCGCAAGGCCTCTACCTGTACACAAACACAGAAAAACGCACACATACAAACTAAACATCCATGCCCTGAGTGGGATTCGAACCCACGA